TGGTGCCGTCTTCCCGGCCTCCCACCCCACCTTTACGATCGTGCTGCCATCACTACACTCGCTAAGTGTATTGGACAGCCGATTCGTATTGACGCCCCGACGGCTCTTCAGTCGAGGGCTAACGTGGCGCGATTCCGTGTCGAGATAGACCTTAGAGTTGAGCCCGTTCATGAGATTGAGATTGAGCAGGGCTCGGAGACCTTTGTTCAGTGAGTGATCTATGAGAAGATCCCCGCGTTCTGCACTTCATGCAGTCATGTGGGTCATATTGCGGCTGATTTCTACTCTAGTGGCAATAATCCACGGCCCACACTTCCGCAGTGCCGCCGTGCTACTCAGCCGGGGCCCTCCACCGGCCGGAGGGACCCGAAGGGAAAGGGGGAAAAAAAATAAAATCAATTTGGCTTACGGGCTCAATTTCGATTTTCGCGAATATTCTCGGGCTCGATTAAAAATTTAAACAGACATTTTCGGGCCCAATTCGGTTCCAACGAAAATTCTCGGGCTCGATTACGAATGCAAACGTGTGACAAAATAAACCGAACAAATATATATGTTTTCCATATTTTTATAATACACGATAACAATTAAATATATCACCAAAAAAAATCAATTAGACAATTACTAAATATTATGGCATTCAAGAAAGATAAAAATAAATATTATCACACAAATAACAATAATGTTAATAATAACAATAAAAGTAATAATAATATATCCCAAATAATCCACAAATAAACGGGGCATTACAGGACAGGGGCCGAATGGCCGGTAAGGAGCCGGTCACTGAGGACGTTGAGCTCGATCTCCGAGCTCAGTTCGAGGAGAAAAGAGGCACTAAGCGAGTCGAGCCCATGGACGAGGTCGAGATCATTTTCATTGACAAAGAGACCTACCAGAAACAATTACGCATCGGGAGCAAACTGTCGGAGCCCCTGAAAGACGAACTGATGCAATTCCTTCGAGAGAACGCCGACGTCTTCACTTGGACTCATGAGGACATGGTCGGCATGGACCCAAGGATTGCCTACCATAGGTTGCAGGTCGATCCAACGGTCAGGTCGGTCATCCCAAAGAGAAGAAAGTTGGGCCCGGACCGACAACAGGATCTCGAAGAAGAAGTATTAAAGCTGACATTCGAGAGGTCTGATATCCGACCTGGGTGGCCAACCCTGTACTTGTGAAGAAAAGCAGTGGATTTTAGGGCCTTAAAAATGTATTTTTCATTTGGCGCAATTCTGGTATACTGTTACATACCCCCACAATTTCAGTTCAAGGTGAAGAATTAAAACGAAAAAAAAAAATGTCGTAGATATGGGGCCTTAAAAAGTATTAACAACGAAAAATGAAGTAGAATTAAAAAAAATAAAGAACTAAATGGTAGTTAATGTAGCCAGGAAGAAGAAGCATAAATGCAGGTTGGAAAAAATAAAGTGACAACCTATATGATTTATGACAAAAAATACACATCTTGCTTATCTAATTTTACGTGAAAAAAGCAGTCATCAATGTGGTGCGTAATTATGCGAATCATGTGTGTAATATGTTGCCTATTGATAAATTATGCGAGGTTTATATGGATAGGTCTAAGTTTTTTACATGAAAAATAGATAATCAAAGCGGTGCATAAATTATGAGATTAATATGCGAAACATTTTCAGCGGATTTGCGATTCGTATGCGATTCTGGATATGCGAACATACAAAGCATAATCGTTAATTATACGACATTAAAGATTTGAATATACGAGTCGTAAACTATACGAAAAAAATATCGCATAATTATAAAATATCCGACATTCAATTAGGATATGCAAGAACTAAATATGCGAGACTTTCTCGCATATGATAAATTATGCAGCGGATTTGTATATGCATTTACAAAATGTGCGAAAGTGTTCCGTAAAATTATTAACTATGCGTCGGATTTGGATATGCGTTGGTATATATCCGACAAATCACGGTCATTTAGATATGCAATAATTATATCGCATTGTATTTTGCGACTTACGGAGTGTAAAAGAAAGTGTAGTTATCTAATTGGGTGTAAGAGATGTTCGCCCCTGTCAAATATACCCTTTACTAGTGTAAAAAAAGACTTGTTTCTTTTGGGACGTTAAATTGGCTATGATATATTCTTATTTATTTCACTTAGAACCATTCTACAGAACTTATATATATATATATATATATATATATATATCAAAAAGTATGGATCATTTTTTTTTGGAAACGATATGATATATAAATAAAAACATATGTACATATTGTACGGGGTCGAGACCGAACGGACAGAAAATTATATTAAATGAAAGTCCATCCGGGTTCGCGAGGAGAAACACAAAGATACGAACCGAATGGGAATGGAGACCGAGCGAGATTCAGATAGCGTGTCCGACCAGAATTAATCATCACCATTATTTGTCCGTATGATACGCATTTAATGCAGCTGGATTCGGTAATCACTCATCTAAGGGTGCTTAACAAGCAGGGACACGTGTCGCAACCCGGTCGAAATAGCTTTATTGAGATGGGATTGTGCAGTATAATAGCATTAAATGTGGTGTGACTAAATATCAATTAATATCTTGTAAAGTGAAATAGAAAAAGGTAATCCCCAAAGTGGATTGTAACAAGTCCTCACACTTCCTATAAAAGGAGCAAAAGGCAACATTAAATTCAATGAGTAAATGCCCTCATTAATACCATAAAAGTCACGAATAGAGCCTACATTCAATCCGAATCATACACAAAATCCTATTCGTGCAGACCGAACAGAGTACACATTTTAGTGTGCAGTTCGAGCACATTGTTGGTCATATTTTAGACATCAACAATTGGCGCTAGAAGGAGGGCAAATCTAACATGTCATGAACAACCGCATCATCGTCGAGACGAAGGTACCGCCGTAAGTAGTCGGAGGAAAGAGAAAATCAGCGCAACCACCAGCCAGCCACGACGGATTACTCCACATTGTTCAAAGACTCGAATTTTATCAAAGGAATATCGAACCTTATGACAAAAATTTGGCCATCAATGTCTCAAGCACAAAAAACCCGACCAAAAAGGACCTGACCACCGGACCCAGAGACAAAGGACCGGAAATTCAAGAAGACACTTCGCAATCCAGCGAAAACACCACTAGAAGCCGGAGGGAGGAGACCAAGACCACTACCCGGACGGAACGGGAGCGGACAGACGAGAGCCGATCGATTACAGACTCGCGCACATGCCGCACGAACTTGTCGGTCTTCAACCGACTGGGGAGGAACGTGGCCGAGGACGATCTAAGAGGGGCAGTACTCAAACGGGGAGCGAGCGAGAACGAGGAAGAAGAGATGAGGAAGCTTCGAAAGAGGCTGTCCGAACTTGAAGCCCGACACAATAGCTCAAAACGAACCATTTCTGCTTCACAAGACCGAACTGAAGTTATCCCGAGGCGAACCACCACAGCCTAACGAGGAGGAATAGATGTCATCCTAACCGAGACAGAATCACAACTAACGTTTGATATTTTGAAGGAAAAGTTGCCCGAGAAGATCAAGGTCCCCCAGATTGGATTCTACGACGGAATGTTGGACCCGGACACCCACATTGGGATGTTCACGTCCTGGAAGGACCTACACAGTGCCCGATACGCCCTCCGTTGCCGAATGTTCTCCTTAACTCTGGGAGAGAAAGCACAACGATGGTATCATTCACTGCCGCCACATTCGCCCCATAGTTGGCCGCAGCCGAAATCTATGTTCCGAACGCATTTCATTGGATCACAACCGTGCCGAATACCAATGGAGTCGATTGCGAACATCGTGCAAGGAGCCGACGAGAGCCTGAAGGACTATATCACCCGTTTCAACAAACGGAAGAAAAACATGGAGCCGTGCCATCAAGAGACCCTACTCGTTTCATCCTACTCTGGGTTGAGACCGAACTCGATGTTCTTTTTGGCGTTATGCCAGAACAAACCTCAAACCTACCATGAATTCTTGATGAAGGCACAACAGCACGTGATCGCGGAGGAAAGTATGTCTGTACCACCATTTGGAGCCACGAGCAAACCGTCACCGAAAGCTAAAGAACTAAAACTGATGAAGGAATACCAGAAGGAAGGGAACACCGCTCAAATCCGGACGTTGCAGAAAAAATATCATGAAGAGATGACGAGGGAGTCTATTCGACCGGTGTGGCCGTCGTGTACGAAGAGCTGAAGAACAACGGAATCATACCGGATCCAAAACCAATCAGAGCTGACATAGAACATCTTGACAAATCCAGATACTGCACGTACCACAAGTCGCACGGTCATAATACGGATCAACACAAGCAGAGGAGATACGGACATGTCCAGAAGACAAGTCAAGGCGTACCCATGACGAGCATACAACACAGGCCACCAGGTTAGCCGTGCAGAAGCAAGGGATTGGCTGCCCACCCCCACAAATCTCATAATGTTCTTGGATGAGGACTCATACCCATTCGACTACACACACTCGGATGCGCTCGTAATCATGGCCTCAATCTTTTATATCTCAGTTCACTGAATCATGGTCGATACAGGTGCCTATTCGAGCATCCTATATTAGGACGCCTTTCTCAGAATGGGGTTTGACAAGAGCGAACTTCGTCCGTGCAACGATCAAATCACAGGGTTTAACGAACAGGCGACTTTGCCGGAAGGAGAGATCATACTACCAATCGAGCTTGGAGGAGGAGGAGCGAACGGGATGAGTCATCATGGAAACATTCTCGGTCATGAAAATGAACAGCGAGTACAACGCCATCCTAGGATGAACGGCATTTTACAAATTGAAAGCGACCGTGTCAATATTCCATTATTCGATTAAGTTTCCGACCGAGAGTGGAACCGGCGTCCACTATGGAAATCAGAGGGAAGCTCGTGAGTGCATTATGGCGATTCCGCCGCTCGAGATACATTCAGTCATGGCAGTAAGCGGAGAGCAGAATCCCACCGAAAGGATGAACGCGCAGCCTAATGAACCAATGGAGCAGGACGATCAGATGCTGATCAAACTAGTTGAAGAAGATTGGCCGGAGGATGACGAACATCAAAACGACCCAGAAATGGAAGTCTGTGAAAGTCAAAGCAACAAAAAGAGACGGAGAGAAGAACTGAATGAGGCACTTGGAAAAGGGAGTGAACACCTGCCACCTATACATCCGGTCAAAGGACCAAACAAAGGTTCGACCAAAGAAGGGGTGCAGGAGGAAGAGAATGTTCCCGAAGATGAGGACCGGACGGCCCACAGGGGTCGCCGACCAGGAAAGGAGTCGGTCGAAGAGAAAGACGAACTAGACCCGAGGGATCAGTTCAAAGGCAAGAAGGTCGATCGAGCCGAACCCAGCGAGGATACAGAGACCGTCTACCTTGACGAGCCTTATTGTACAAAGTCGCTGCGCATAGGAAGAAATTTGGACGAGCCCGTCCGGTCCAGACTAATCACTTTTCTGATCGAGAATGCAGACATGTTCGCGTGGACACACGAGGACGTGATGGGGATCGACCCGAATCTGGCGTGCCAAAGTCTCAAGATCGACCGAACAATCAAGCCGATGGTGCAAAAGAGAAGGAAGCTGGGGCCGGACCGACAGGAGGCACTCGAAAGTGAAGTGATCAAGCTAATCGACAACCGCTTTGTCCAAGAGGCCAAGTATTTGGTCTGGGTTTCTAACTCGGTCCTGGTGCAAAAAAACAACGAAACATATCTGTTACCCAGCATCGACAACATGGTGGACATGACGTCTGGGCACGAGCTCATGAGCTTCATGGATGCCTACTCTGGATATCCTCAAATCCCGATGGACCTGGACGACGAGGAGCATACATCTTTCTACTCGTCCAGGGGCCTATACTGCGACACCATGATGCCGTTCGGTCAGAAGAACGCAGGCGAAACATATCAAAGGCTTGTGAACAAGATGTTTTCAAATCTGATCTGTCGAACCATGGAAGTTTATGTTGATGATATGCTTGTAAAATCTGTGTATGCGAACGACCATATAACCCATCTCAATGAAATGTTTTCTGTTTTGCGTGATTATTCCATGGTTTTAAACCCCAAGAAATGTACATTTGGGGCCGGGTCGGGTAAATTTCTAGGATACATAGTAAGCTGAAGGGGAATCGAGGCGAACCCCGATAAAATTAAAGCGATCCTAGAATTAAAACCTCCAAAATCCATAAAAGAAACACAAAGTTTAACGGGTAGGTTAGCCGCCTGAAACTGTTTTATTTTCAAATCCACGGACAAGTGTAAACCATTCTTCGAAACCTTCAAAAAGAAAAAACAGTTCAGGTGGACGAACGAGTGCCAAAAAGCCTTGGATAACATCAAAGAGTCGCTCGTTCGATCACCCGTCCTGCAGAAACCGACCCCGAGAGAAATGTTGTATTTATACTTAGAAGTAACATCGACCGCGATAAGTGTCGTGATCGTTCGAGAAGAGGACTCAAATCAGCATCCGGTCCACTACATCAGCAAGGCGTTACACAAAACTGAAGTTCGCTACCCCTGAACCGAAAAACTCATCTTTGCACTGGTGACTGCTTCGAGGAAACTCAAATCGTACTTCCTCGAACACCAAATCACGATCTTGTCTGCCTATCCTATCAGAAAAATCCTACATAGGCCGGATACGTCTGGACGGATGATAAAATGGGCCGTCGAGCTCGGACAGTATGATATCCATTACAAACTCCAGATGGTGATCAAAGGCCAGGCACTGTCCGATTTCATAGCAGAGTTCACCACTGGGACCGAACCGATCCAGGAGACCGAAACTTGGGAGATGTACATAGACGGATCGGCAACATCAGACGGATCCGGAGGCGAGGTTGTGATAATCAACCCTCAAAAGAAGCTATACTGTCATTCGGTTCGGTATTTATTCCCTGCAACCAATAACGAGGCCGTATATGAAGCACTCTTGTCCGGGCTCGACTAGGCCGAATCGATGAATCTCACCAGTTTGAAGGTTTACTCTGACTCGATGTTGTTAGTGAAGCAGATCTCAGGAGAATTCGAGACGAAGTTATCCTGATTGATCCCGTACTTGAACTTAGCTCGTAAGAAAATGCAGAGAGTAAGCGTTCAGTTGGAACATATTTCCCGGACGGAGAACGCCCAGGATGACGCATTAGCACGATTGGCATCTAGTCGGGGAACGGATGAAATTGAGTACGTATACACATGACACCAAGAAAAACCAGCTATCCAAATCAAACAAGTCATGACGGTGGGGAGCACAGTCGGAGTGAAGCCATCCGGATGGATGGACCCAATCCATTCGTATTTGGACACCGGGGAGCTCCCAACCGACCCAAAAAAGTCTAGATCACTCAGAACCCGTTCGGCAAGATACACCCTCGTGGGGGGAACGATGTACAAGAGGGGTTATTCAACCCCATTGCTTAAGTGTCTAGATACCGAAGAGACCGAACGAGTGATGAGGGAAATACACGAAGGAGTGTGCGGAAACCATTCCGGTGGACGAGCTCTGACGCATAAGATTCTAAGGCAGGGATACTATTGGCCCACAATGAAGAAGGATTCGTTCAACCTGGCAAGAAGGTGTGATAGATGCCAGACGTTCGCCCCAAACCTAAACCAACCGGCCCAGCCGCTTACTTCAGTTTTTAGTCTATGGCCATTCGCTAAATGTGGAATAGATATGATCGGCCCCTTACCGACTGGAAAAGGTGGGGTCAAATATGCAGTAGTAGCCGTCGACTACTTCACCAAATGGACCGAAGCAGAACCGTTGGCCACAATCACAGAACAAAAGATGATCGATTTTCTGTGGAAGTTAATCGTTTGCCGCTTCGGCAAACCACATTCGGTTGTGACTGATAACGAACGACAGTTTGAGGGTAAAAGGTTTGACTTGTTCTGTGAGGAATTAGGAATTCGACACCATTTTTGCACCCCCTATCATCCACAGTCGAATGGACAAGTGGAAGCCATCAATAAAATTATCAAGCAAAAACTAAAGGTGCGTTTGGGGCCTGGCCCGAAGAGTTACCGAACATTCTATGGTCGTACTGGACCACAGCAAGGTCAACGACTGGACAAACGTCATTTTCCTTAGCGTACGGCTCGGAGACAATGGTGCCGGTTGAAATCGGGTCAAAGACCTACCGAGTGGAAAACTTTGAAGAGGAAGCGAATAATGAAAGAATAAGAACGAATTTAGACTTAATCGAGGAGTTGAGGTCACACGCTGAATTGAAGAATGCAGCTTACAAACAGTAGACAAAAAGGCATTTTAACACAAGGATTACATCACGACTCTATAAGCCAAGCAAACTCGTGCTAAAAAGAGTGAGCGGACCAGATCCAGGACCCTTGAAGCCGAAGTGGGAGGGTCCGTATCAAATAGACACGGTACTCAAGAAAGGGGCCTACAGACTGAAGTACTTAGACAGAACACCATTAATGTATCTTTGGAACGTATTGTATCTGAAGAAGTATTATCAATAAAACGCGTAGGTTCGTGTCAATTTCTAGATAACTGGAATCCAACGAGAATCAAACGGCCGAATGACATTAATTCGTTCGACGTAAATTAATTAGACCCCATAAGGGTAACGAAACCCCATTAGAGTAGGTAAAAGGATCGGACAACGTAAATCTGTCTAGTGCAAAACGAATGAAACCCCATCAGAGTAACGCGACCTGACAAAATAAATTTGTTCGACGCAAAACGCATGAGACCCCACTAGGGTAAAACGATCGGACAATGTAAATTAGTTCGGCGTAGAAAGGACAAGACCTCGTTAAGGTAATAAGTCTGGACAACATAAGTCTGTCCGGCACAAAGCGCTTAAGAACAAAAAGGATAAACAATCGGGTAACACAAGTTCATTAGATTTAAAATGAGCGAAACACTACAAGCGAAAAATGACCGGACAACGTTAATTTTTCCAGCGCAAAACGAATGGAACCCTAAAAGGGTTGAGCGACCGGGTGACGCTAATCGACCCGGCGAAAAAACAAATAAATCCTATAAGGATCAATGATCGGACCACGTTAATCTGTTCGGTAAAAAGCATTCATTCGCGTAACAAGGAAAATCGATGCGTGCTGGTAACACAAAACACTCCAACCAGCTTGAAATCGGCTCGTCTTCCTCCTCTTCGTCGGTAGAATGCCGCGTACCTGGAAAGAACTCTCACACCGGAGGGGTTTTACGGTGAAGAGTCTCCGATGCTTAAGTCAGTATGTGTTTCACTCAGTTCTCAAGAGTAAAAAATGGATAAATCGTGTATAACAAAAAAGGCCCACTCCTATATATATATAGGAGTGAGATACCTGCCCTAGGAGCTGCCCGGATTTGGTAAGCTATTTGCCCAGCGCTACCCGTATCTGCCCATCCGTACACACACAGTGTGTGTGTGTGTGTGTGTGTGTGTGTGTGTCAGAGGTAGTTATCGCTACTATCGCTCTTCACCAATGTACTCTCGCCACGTGCCTCTCTGAGCATAGGGTAATTATTCCCTTGAATATTGCTTGGGAATTCCTGAAGAAGACCACGCGCTTCCTCGCGTCTACATCACGCTCTCGATTGCTCTTCACTCGCTGAGTGGTCGATCAGATGAGCTCTCCTATAGTAGGTCGATCATCGACCAGATCTGCTACACTGTTAGACCACTTCTTTTCAATCTGCTATCGCTCGACCAACATAGTATTTCCGACATTGGGCTCGTATGACCGGCCTAGTGAACCGGTTTATACTTTAGGTATATAATATCCCATATCATCTAGTTCTCTAGTGGAGTCCAAATGACTCGATCTAAGAGTAGATTTGTGTTCGCCTCCTCGGTTTAGAGGTGCCTTGTCCATCTGGCCAACTTTAACTTCCTTTCTCGACCACTTGGCTGGTTTTGTGGTAATTTCCAACCTCCTCTCGTTTCCCTTTATTATTAATACGGCCTTATCTTGCCACGCATCCCCTTTGTCAGGCGCATTAATCATAACACCTCCTCGCGATCCACATCTCTTTGCTATTTGCGCCCCTTGAATTCTCCCTGCCGTTAGATTTTACTTTAATCGAGCGGCTACCTCCATCAACCCTTCACCTTATTTCTCTGTTATTCATATAAATACCGCACTTAGCCATTTTTCGGCCTTTTCTTCACTTCTGCAACTTTCAAATTTTCTTGTGCCCTAAATTTCTTCTGCAAATTAAATTTTCTTGCTTTCAGCGCTTTCTCTTCACGCGTTCTCCGGCGAACGTTCTCCACTGCAACCATGAGTAAGTCTCCTGCGCTTTGATTTTGTATTTGAATGTTTTTATTTTTTCGATTTTCAATATTCCCTGTTAATTCTTCCCTTTCAAAGTCTCCTTGTTTCTCCTATAAAAAGAAATCTTCTTTCTCGCCTTCAAAACCCTAACCTCTCTCTTTTTTTTTCTTGGTTTTCCTTTCTTTTATCTTTCATATTCCGCTTCTTCTAATGAAAACAGTCACCACGTCGTCCTCCTCAATTCGTCGACCTATTCCTCACTCCCCTTCCCGTTCTGTTGACGAAGGTTACAACCCTGTTCCTCTCAGCATCCTTCGCCCCTCCGATTACTCTACTTCGTCTCCTCCACCACAAACTCATCATCTCATCGATGAGTCCGATGAGGACATTATTGACCATGTCCTCTTAGCCGTCGATCCCAACCAGTTTTTGGTGTCGCCGACGCTGCGGAAGCGGCTCTAGATGCCACTGAAGATGCTCGTCAGACTGACGAGGATGATCTTCCTCTTTCCTATCATTCTGTTTTTTTCAAACGCACCTCCTCGAGTAAAGCTAAGGTATCTCCCGCTACTAAGTCCAAATCCACAACCAAATCTTCGGCAACTCCTGCTTCACCCAAAGACCAATCCGACCCCATTGCTACTTCTTCTAAGACTGTCCAGAAGAAGTAAAAATCGACCAAAGTCTCCTCTTCTAAAAAAACACCTTCCTTCCTCCTTATAGCAGGATGGCTATATGTCAAAGATGTCGGCCATCCTGTTGGTTGGGCTTTTAGGTCTCCTGGCCCTCAGGATACTTACGACCAGTCTCCAGAAAACAATTATACCTTTTTTGAAGTCCAGTTTAAACTCGGGGTCCGCTTTCCTTTGTGTCAAGCCTGCTCGATATTTGTGACTGGTTTGACCTTCCACTGAACCAGCTTTCTCCTAACGTTATCCAATTTATAACCACATTCATTATCCTCTGCCACCTTCGTCTAGGTTGACTTGACCTAGCCTTTTTCCATTACTTCTATACACCCTCGAAACATGCTCAAGGGCTCTACCTTAACAGTCGCTATGATGTCCCTTCATCTCTGACACCCCTTCTAATGTTCCCAAGTGGAAAGATCGATTTGCCTTCGTCGAGCCTAACCCTGCTTTTCCTTGGGCTACAACTACTTGGCTTAGGGAGCTCAAACGTGAGCTTGCACCTCCTCCTCAAAACTCCCTCTTCGACCAACGGATTGCTGTGTGGAACTCCAAGCCCGTTGCGTCAAAAACTCTCCTCAAAAACGATAACCTCTTACACTTTTGCGGCCTCCTTACTCACAAATCACTATCTCCTCCTACCCAAGAAACCCTTGACCTAGTCCTCATCAAGGACGATGCAGGTATTTTTTACCTAGCGTGCTCAAACATTGTTGTTTTTATTCTTGCGTGTGATATATCTGTTGTAATGTTGACTTAATTGCGCGAATTTTTGCAGAGATGCCTACTATCCCCTTTTCTAAGAGGAAATTCCTCTGAAGAAGAAGCCTATCGAGGGGTCGAGCTCAAGGCCTGCTAGCTCGACCGCCTCTCAATCTGATCGCCCAGCTTCGCCACCTCCCAATCGCTCCTCTTCGACGCCGCCGGACCGGAGGAGGTCGAACCTCGCCCCTCACCTATTCAAGAGTTGGTCATCGAGGAGCAGCCTTTACTTTCCTCAATCAACACTCCTATCAAAGAGCAGTCTGAGCGGCCCGCTTCGCCACAATCGAACTCTCCTCGTCCTGACTCTACACCAGTGATTCACATTCCAGCCTCTCCCAATCATAAGTTGGTCGAGGAGGCTCGACTGAAACGTCCTTTTGTCAAGGGGGAAGATGGGCCAACAAGCGCTCTCGCCTCGAGGAGACTACCGCCGTCACACACTCCTCTACCGTTTCGTTGACCTAGCTCAGCGGCGCGGATGTATCATCCTTCCTTAAGGGTGTTCTTCCCGCCGTCGACCTCCCTACCGACCACCCGATGACGGTCACACCCTACACGATCGAGGTAACCGCATCGGCAGATAGCTGGAGCAGGTAACCCTTATAACTCTGTAACTATCTTCCTTATCTTACTTCTTTTTTGTCGTTTACATCCCAACTTTTTCCTCTATGCTCACATGTAGGGAATGGTCGAGCTCGCTCCTATCATCGAGCAGACCTTATCGAGCTCGAGCCGGTCTATCCCTGCGATTGAGCAGGGATCCTTTCTTCTCCGTAATCTGGTGGACGAGCTCGTTATTTGGGGCTATAAGCTTCGCGAGAAGGTGAAGGAAGAGGCGGCCAACACCAGGGTCCTCAAATCAGAGAAGGAGATGCTTGAGGGGGCCCTAAAGTCCTTCGAAGAGGCGCTCGAGGCTGAACGGACAGAGAGGAAGGCTATTGTGGCCTAGTTCAGGGAAGAGCGAGTAGCTTGGGGCCGCAAGAAAGCTGCTTTCGAGCAACGGGCGAAGAAACTGGCCCATCAGGCCACTCTACGGGCCCGCCAGATGGTATGACATACCACATCTGGGTAGCACTTCCTCCAGAATTATCACGATCAAGTGGTGACTGCTTTCAAACAGTCATCACCATACCTGAAAGAGGTGTAGGAGTACGGTACTCGTTGCTTCGAGTCCATCGTGCAAGAAATCAGCAACCAGATAGTGGAGGATGACTTTGAAGAGCTTAACGTGAAAGCTATCTAGAATGCCCTGACCAAGGCACATGCTGGCTACAAGAGCGCTCTCGACCTACCCCTCGACCACGACTGGTATCGAGCCTCCTCGAGCACACTGTAAATCAAGACGAGATGCTGAAGAGGAATTTCACACTTCCCGATGGACTGACTCCTCCGACGTTAATGCGGCGAGTCATGTCTGAGTCCATTCGTCAGCGCCCTTTGTCGGATATAGCAGAGTCCACCTCCGATTCGAGCCAACAAGTCGAGCAGTCGGATCCGTACCTCGAGCAGACTCTACCCGATTCTAATGCCAATGCTGAGCAGGCCTCTCCAAATCTTGATACCTCTGGGGCGTGTTTGAAAAACTAGATAAGATTATATTGTAATAATTTGGACTCCCTAGATTGTACTATTAAGATTTGAGAAATATTGTGTTTGATGGCCATGATTGCAGGGAAGAGGAAGATTAGACAAAGTTTTTTTTTTGTGTTTGTGGGGCATGACAAATTCTAGGATAAAACACATTTTACTTAATTACCCTTTCATTGTCCAACTATTTCAAATGACAGCATCCACATTATTTCTCGTCTTTTTCCCCAATTGTAACCTAATTTCAGTCGGCCGTCCAAAAAATGGCTCCTCTGCTTCTCGCCCAGCGATCTGTGAGTATCGCCCCTTGAGCTTCTCGCATCTGTAATTTTTTTTGTACGGATTTCTTCCCCAAAACACATATGACATGTTTGTGTCCTGTTCATTTGTTCGTGAATGGCTTGTACTCCATTTGGCTGTGTTGCGTGAATAATATGTCATAAGGTCTTTCCATGGGAAGTAAGTATCTCTATCCGAAAATGTATAGTTGTCTTTCTGAAACAGTGTTTTAATTTAATTCAATTTCTTTGTCAGGCATCCAAGAATAAAGAAAATCGTTTCTCAGGCTTGTTAATCAAAAAAGGCAAGACTGTGTTGTTGTTTTGTCCAATCCGCAGTACCATTATTCTTTTCCATGTGCTTATTTTCAAAATTGTATGATTATATTCTCTGGCATGGGATTGTCTGCATGGGTTGCTGTCTTGTTCCATTAGATTCTTTTTCTACAGTGTGATACAATCTGGCAGAGACCTCTGATACTTTTTTTTATAAAGGTCTTGAAGAATGGTGAATTTTTTCAGCTGTCAGCTTTATCATTTACATACATAAATTGTGTAATTTGTATATTTGGTAGAAATTACCCTCCTTTGTGTGGTCGGTCATGTCCTCCCCTATATAAAGAGGTTGATTTTCCTTTGGATTTCCACAGTCAAGTCACGGCCACAAAAGTAGGCTTCATTTAACCAATCCTATATTGTCATCGAAAATCAGGATAATGGCCCGTTTGGGAAGGAAGCCACACAAGATGAGTTTCTTTACGATGATCGGTGGACCAAAGAGGTCGACAACCTGTTTATAGACCTCCTTGTAGAGGCCCACTTTGGTCTTGAATGGAGAAATGACAGACCAGGGTCGAATGTCTTCGCCTACTGCCGCGGTGTATTGGTTATAGATCTCGGGGAAAACTTCACGGTGGCTGAAGTCGAGGAAAGGTTCGATTTCCTTCACAAGCGTTTTTGAGTCTTTTCTTGGATGCTACGAAAACATGGGTTGCGCCACTGTGTCCAGTCCAACGTCCTCACGGCTCCGGTAGCAGTATGGGATGATATATTCGAGGTATTTCATCACACTTTGTTGGTCAAATATTGCTGTTTAAACTTTGTTGATCATAATACACAGTTTTGGGTAACCTTTTCTCTTGGTATTAATAGCATTTTATTAATAGGACTTTATAAGAATAGATATGCAACTGTCCTGTGTTCTGTTTGTTGTGGGTTTCCTTTTTTCTTGCCTATGTAGCAAAAGGTAAAACTTTCTACCATTTGACTATGTTCCTAATAATTGAGTTAAAAACTTGTAAGATCAATGTACTGTAAACTTCTCCAAAACCATAATGTAGAAGGCCAAACTCTTCAATGCACACAACCAAAGCAAAAAGAAACGAAATAAACATTCAGTCACACATATATCCTATCATTCACAATAAATTCAGTCACACATATCATATGTGTAGTCGTACAGGAACACCCACGGGATCATAGGTTCCATCCAACGCTTCTAAGCATCCCTGTCATTCAATGCACACCAAAATCAAATTATGTACTTTATTGTAAGTAGTTGAATTTAAGGTTTAGTTCAACAGAAATGTAGTAGAATGGTGTCCTCACCTTAAACCATCTCCATCTCCAATCTGTGCATGAATCGGTTATTGGGGTACTTTCAGCAAGGAGAATGGGGTACAAGCACAGTACGGCTTTAAGTACATTGTGGAAGAATTTGCTTATTGTTTGACCAGATCATTTAAAATCAAATTTAATAACACGATTTTTTTGTGGTGAGCTAGCACACTTAGAAAAATTGCTACTTGTTCACTAATTTGAATATCTCTGGTGTTCCGTAGGCCCCCAATATGTTCCACCAAGTAGCATAAACGCGCAAAGCTGTTTCGATCCATGCGAAGTTGTTCAATGCATGTTCTGTCACTTATTTCTACCAACACTTTCATATGCTCAATTTGAGACGGAAGACGGTTTGACATACTATAGGATGCTCTTCTAAGGCGACGTCTAACTCTACGATATTGTCTTTGTTGTACTACCAGCTTAATGTAAATGTATGCAAGCAGAAGACACAACGTAGATTTATTAAGTCCTCACGAGCAACAGTACTAGCGCCTCTTCCGATTCTATGTCCATGGTTATTTTGATGATGTAAACAAAAATACATACTTGGCCATGAATAAGTTAAGTGAGAAGACAACTGTTTTTAATCTTTCCTACACTGTAAATTAAAAGGTCTACCAAAATGTGCTAAAAATTCAAGTCAAGTTTCATGAACATTAATCATTTCTTTTCACCAAAGAACAAATGTCAACTGTTGTTATGTGTATAGAAAACTTTACAAAATGGTATCCCTAAATGTCAGGCATTGAAAAAAAATAGAGGAATCAAAATATGAACTCAACATATATTGCAAAAAACAACACTCTAGTAACCCGAAAAACAAGTATGGCATCAATTTTGCCATGAGAAGCAGCCAAGCAGCCAAGTGACAACAAAAAACCTGAACAGAGCTTAGCCTCCAACCAACTACATCATATAAAGACTATCCATTTTCGAGAATTAGTTTTTACAAAAAATAAAATAAAATTTTAAAATCAACAATGCTTGGTTCAATGAAAGCATGAAAGTGGTTCTACTTTTACGGAGCCGAAAACATAATTTTAAAAAAATATGCGGCTAGGGTTAACCGCCGGAATCGAAAAGGTACAGCCAAATTAGTGGTTTGAAGTCTTTTGTACCTGTGACGGGAAGGATAACGATGTCAAATACTTCACCGTAATGGGTTCAAGTATGAAGCGCGCGTCAATGTTACTGCGGATCAAACATTGTGGATGTTTAGGGTTTAAGAACAACAACATCTGAATCGACAGGAAAAGGTATGGCAAACACAAAAAAAATTCATTCGTCATCGTTATTGATTACCGTAGTAGCACAAACTTACAGAGCAAGGTCGCCGGCACCCTGTGAAATTTTCGCCTCTTCTGCACCTCCAGGTCTTGTTTCACACTTCCAAAGACGACGATGCCTTATATAATGTGGCATTGTGTAATTATTGGGTCACTCGAGGTTAATACGGTACCAAATGTAAAATATTAGGGACAAAATTGACATTTATTTGTCTGTGTACTATAGGGATCCAAAATATCACATGTCGGACATGCGATTACTTAATAGCCGAAAATAGAGACTAATTTCATTTCATCACGGGCTCTGCGTAATCCACAAGGGCCGCATTCTTGCGAGGCAAACGTCGGAATAAGCCTGGACTAACACCTAAATCCTATCCTATCTAGTTTTTCAAACAAGCCCCTGGTCCTTGACCACTTTGTAAAATGTGTTGTGGTTTATCTCGTTTGAACTTTGTACTCTTGCCTTTCGAAGGTATGAATATTATTCTTTGTTGAAGTTTGTTGGATTTTTTTGTTTTCTTTCCGTTTGTGCGCCTATTAATGTGTCATCTCGCATATCACTTTCATTGTTTATGAGCTCGTGCTGTCACAATACGTCAATTCTATATATATCACCTACTTAAGTCGCACCTCTAATCACAATGAACTATTCACCATTAAGTGCATGCCCACCTTCGGAAAGGTGGTCGAACACATGTCCACCATCAAAGGAGTGGTCGATACATGCGACCACCCAGCCCGGAAGCCTTAGTCATGGTGGATTTTTTGTCTTCGAACACATGTTCACTCTCAAAGGAGTGGTCGATACATGCGACCACCCAGCCCGAAGGCCTTAGTCATGGTGGATTTTTTGTCTTCGAACACATATCCACCCTCAAAGGAGTGGTCGATACATGCGACCACCCAACCCGGAGGCCTTAGTCATGGTGGATTTTGGTCTTCGAACACATGTCCACCCTCAAAGGAGTGGTCGTTACATGTGACCACCCAGCCCGGAGGCCTTAGTCATGGTGGATTTTGGTCTTCGAACACATGTCCACCCTCAAAGGAGTGGTCGTTACATGTGACCACCCAGCCCGGAGGCCTTAGTCATGGTGGATTTTTGTCTTCGAACACATGTCCACCCTCAAAGGAGTGGTCGTTACATGTGACCACCCAGCCCGGAGGCCTTAGTCATGGTGGATTTTTGTCTTCGAACACATGTCCACCCTCAAATGAGTGGGGCCTTAGTCATGGTGGATTTTTTGTCTTCGAACACATGTCCACCCTCAAATGAGTGGTCGATACATGCGACCACCCAGCCCGGGGGCCTTAGTCATGGTGGATTTTTTGTCTTCGAACACATGTCCACCCTCAAAGGAGTGGCCGATACATGCGACCACCCAGCCTGGAGGCCTTAGTCATGGTGGATTTTTGTCTTCGAACACATGTCCACCCTCAAATGAGTGGGGCCTTAGTCATGGTGGATTTTTTGTCTTCGAACACATGTCCACCCTCAAATGAGTGGTCGATACATGCGACCACCCAGCCCGGGGGCCTTAGTCATGGTGGATTTTTTGTCTTCGAACACATGTCCACCCTCAAAGGAGTGGCCGATACATGCGACCACCCAGCCTGGAGGCCTTAGTCATGGTGGATTTTTGTCTTCGAACACATGTCCACCCTCAAAGGAGTGGTCGATAAATGCGACCACCCAGCTCGGGGGCCTATAGTCATGGTGGATTTTTTGTCTTCGAACACATGTCCACCCTCAAAGGAGTGGTCGATGTTCGAAAAATATTTTCACTATCCGCAAGTGTACGGTATAGCTGTAGTTAGTGGCGAGCAAGGTCGTATTCCCCAGAGATTGTTGTCAAAATAACTAAGTATCAAAATGTAAACGGTTAATTATTATTCAGTCTAATGCAAATTTGAATGGTGATTTTATTCTAAACTAATGAATGATTGAAAAATAAATTCTAACACTAATGAAGGCTTGTTCTAAGATAAATCAAGAATGAGAAAATAGATTCTAGGCTATGCTTTCCTCGGGATTATTCTAACAAAGATTTCCTATTCACTCAAACCTTATTTAATTCTACCATTTGTAAGGATAATCACTAAAGTAATTTACTCCTTTCTCTAGAACAAGTTAAATCGTAGATATTAATTGTTATCTATCTCCTCTTGGTCTCAAGATGAAAAATCAACTCCCATAAGCTCCTAAGATTCTAGTTCCCTCGCAAGATTCTATCAACCTCTCGATCTGTTTAGTCTCTTACGTTATGAATTTCCAAATTCTAGCAATCAACTATCTCCTCTCGGTCTCAAGTCAATCACAAATATGCATAAATACGGGCCCTTATATTCACACAATTAATAAAAGCACAAGAAATTGATAAACGAATGATAAACCGGAATGAATAAACAAAATCACTTCATAAAATAATCCGAGTACTCGCAAATCCTAGAATCCCTAAAAGGTTTAGCTACTAAACATATTCTCAAAAGTCAAAATAAATATATTCATGAGTTCAATGAAGAAGAAAAGGAGAAAAGAAAGAAGAACTATTGTCGCCGTTAGTTCCCGAATCTTCAATCTTGACTTCCTCGAATCCCTCGTGTGTTTCGTGCTTTCTCTAGGCCTCCAATGGTGTCAAAAATCCCAAAAACGAGTTCCTAAGGCCTCTTTTATACTGTAGGGCAATTCTGGTCGAAAATGGGAAGAAAACGCGTAAGAATCCTATTCCCCGCAGGTCTGGTCTGCGCGTCACACGAGTCGTGTGACTTTTCTCCAATTTTTGGCAAACTCCCAGACTCACACGAGCAATCACACGACCGGGTCACACGAGTCGTGTGAGGCCACACGACTCGTGTCTCAACCCACACGACTCGTGTGAAAATGCCGTAGCTACGTCTCTTATTTCTTCAACCCACACGACCCGTGTCACTACTCACACGAGTCGTGTGACCTCTTCTGCACCCGTTTTCGCCGATTTTCGTCCCGATTCCATCTCCAACGCATTTCCGGGCATATTTCCTGCAAAAACAACGACAAAAACACCTCTATCATAGTTTAATAAATAAAACGAAATGGTGCACAATCACACGATAACTAGGGCCAAATATCACAATATATCACTCATAATTCATGAAAATATGATGAATATCAACTCCCCCAAACTGAAACCCTTGTTCGTCCCCGAACAAGAATAAGAAAATCACAACTCAAGCATGAGTGATATCAAACTAGAACAGCTTCAAGTTATTCAATGCAACCAAGAAAAATTCAAAAGATCATAATTATCATGCTTTGACTATTAACTTGTATCCACCTTGAATCAACGAACTCTCAAATAGGAATACATAAGTGCCTCACTCACATGTCATCAATATGTAAACGAGAAGGACACGCTCAAGTCACATTGAACACCCAGTTAACCATATGTTTGCCAATCATCTAAAACTCTACTTCAAACACAACCAATAATCATGAGCTTTAAATCAAAAGGTCTTTCCAGGTTGTAATGTAGGCTATTTGGTCAAGGGTAAGATATATATGGGTTAAGTGGCTCAAATAAACAATCATACCATTCGAGTAGATAGACTACTCGACATACCCCACCATCCTCTCTAATCAATCATAAAGCGTTTCTCAATCCCATACCAAAATAATCCATACACAACTCAAATATGCTCAAATCAAATCGCAAAGGGAGTACTTGACCATTTTTTATTATTATTTTTTTTTTCTTTTTTTTTTTTTAGAGAGTTCCATTTTTTTCCAAACAAAATCAAACTGCATGGACAACATTCTCTAGGTATAAACATTGGAGGTCATCCAAGTGTCCTAGAGTGGTTTCTCATTACTCATTACACGTCAAAATAAATCAACTAGTAAGAGGAGTAGAATCCCAACAGTTCGACTTGCGAGCTCTCTTTATTATTTTTCTTCTTTTTTTTCTTCTTTTTTTTCGGTCAAACACAGTAAATGCAACTCAATCACACCCCCATTCCACACCCAATCATCCAATAAATAACTCCGTTATCCCCATACATCCCAAATATCAGTCAACTCTCAAAATAAATAAGATAAACCGGTTGACAAGAAAAAGGCTTAAGGCTCAAACGGGCTACTAGTGGAAAATATTTTTAAGGACAAAGAACAAGGCCAAACGAGCTAAATTCAAGAACCGCCTAAATCATTTTTAAAGCTCATGATCATCAATGCATTTTTTCAAGTGTAGAATCAAGGCAAATTCTAATAACTCGGGTATTCAATTGACACTCACAGACAAAGAATAAAGGTTCAAATCTCACTAGGTTCAATATATCGCTAATTCAAGGCTCACAAGCATTTTCATCTAGGCATGACTTTTACAATCTCAATCACAATTTCTTAGTCACATCAAATTACCATTCACCATTCAAGTTATACATATCATCATCAAATCGAAAGCCCAAAATACACAAGAGACCGACTCATTATAAAAAATACTACTCTTAAAAAGCAAATAAACGTGCTCTAGTCAATAAAAAACATAAAAATAAAAATAAACTAATGCAACCTATATGAAATGCAAGATAGATGGGATAAGAACCTAAGATATGCCGCACCCCTCCCCCAAACTCATTCTTTCGAGAAAGAACAAATTTGAAGAAAAAGTGGTATATCTTAGGGGACTAATTGCCTGAAAATCACGGTGGAGGAGGGGGAAAATTCCCCTCGTGTCTCTGCATCCAATCGAACAGCTGCTGGAAACCGCAGTTCATCCGCTCCTCCAGCCGGACCGCAGACGCACGGTTCTCATCCCGCATGCCCCATACGTCCGTCCTAAGCTCGCGCATCTCTCGCTCGAGCGTCAACATCCTCTCGTCCATACTCGGCTCTCGACGCCTCTGCCTCTGCCTCTGCCTCTGCCTCTGCTCAACCGCTCGAGATGACTCCGGTCTATCCTCACGCACCGGCTGCTCGGGTGCTGCTCCATCCTGATCTCCATCCTCGTGCCACATCAAGGCATCCATCTCTCCCTCATATCCGGGCATCTCCTCCTCCTCCGGTTCCTGTGCAGGCAACTGTGGGGCAAGCTTCCGCAGAACCCCCACGGGCGGACACGTCTCTCTCAACTGCCGATGCACCTCGGTGTCCATCAG